ACTGCATGGAGCTCAGAGGCTCCTTCATCAGGAAGGAGACTGGAATTTTCTGCACCATAGGTGGGAATGTAAGAAGGTGCAAAAACTGTATGAAAAGTAAAAACAGAACTATCACATCACAGAGCAACTCCACTTCTGGATACACACTCAGTAACACCAGGTTAGTGAGAGACAGCCTCAGTATTCACAGCTGGGTCACAGTAGGGTCAAAAGGTAGTCTAACTAGACAGTAGACATCTGAGGGGCTAACCACAAGGTTTGGGCCCTGTGATAAAAGCCAGGCTAGTAGTCGCTAGAGGTCACACCATCCACTCCTCACATTCACGGATCCTGGAGGGTAAATTCACACGGACAGAAAGCAGTAGAGTGGGTGCCAGAGACTGCAGAGGGGGACATCGAATGGGAAGGAGCGCCTGTTTGGGAAGTGCACAAGTTCTGCAAATGTGGTGGAGGAGGCTACACAAACTGGGTGCACTTAACGGACTGCAGTCTGGGGAACACAGCTCAGGGGCTGAGACTCGAGCAGCCTGTGCAAGACCCTGGTTCCGTCTCTAGCGCCACACACATATTAATGGGATTGGTGTCACGCATTCTATCATAACATTTTCCCAAAACTGAAAGAAAGAAAACAATATAAGGCTTCTCCCTCCTCTCTAAGATCCCCAAATCTTTACCCAGGAGCTCCTGTCCTGGTACTACCAGTTGCCTGGCTCACGTCTTACAGAACTAAGTAGCGCCCAGCACAGCCTGGAGAACTTCTCCAGGCTACCAGCACTCAGCCTTTCCGGCAAGGTGCCGGCATGCAGCAAGTGTAGTGTTCATGAAGCATGTTGTGGTGCAGGAAGGGATGAACAAAAACACTGAGGGAGGCAGATGGGCCAATACGCAGGTGCACACCTGAACTCCAGGTCTGTGTGAGGACTTATGGGAACCACCAGGGTTCAACTGGACATGAACCTGGGTAAGGGGTGAAGGAGAAATTACAAGTGGAAGGGCTGGGGCCAAGGTCAGCTGTGGTGTGGGCAGGAAGGGGCCTGTGGGCTCAGCCTTAGGAGACCTTTCTGCCAGCAGGGTAGGGCTGGGAGGGCCCAGGCCTCAGGGAAGTGTGGCTAGATGTAAGGCTGTGGGGAGGAGGTGTGGGGAGGAGGAAGGGGAGGTGCCGGGTCCTGGCTGGGTACTGGTCTCCTGGGAGCTGGTATTTTGCCTGAAAAGTCCCCATTAGCCTGTAAAACGTACTCATTGTTGGGCAGGCGGGGTGCGCCAGCCTGTGGCCTCTGAATGTCTTTTACAGCAGAGCTATTTTTAAGTCCTTCTTGCTTTTCCTTTTTTCCTTTCTCCTCCTTTCCTTCAACCTACACCCTTTGTGTGTCTGAGTAAGAGAGGGCGAGGCCAGACACGGGGGTGGACCAGTTGGACTCGACTTCCTGTCCTGCTCCTGCCTCCAAACATCTGGGAAGCAAGGAGCTCACTACTGTACCCCAAAACCGTTCCCACGGCCTCCCCAGGAGCTCCTACTAACTTCTTACTTCTCTTTAGAGGGATTCAGGGCTGGGAGGCTGCTCTGTCTTGCCTCCTGCATAAGGCTACACAGTTGTAAAGAAGGGGTCTCTGCCTGTGGAGCCAGAGCTAGGTGAGCACAGCGGACAGGGAACAAGAGAGGCCTTCCCACCAGCACTATGACAGAGTGGGAAGATGCCCCACTTGGAGACCACACTGCCTGTCACAGGCCACAAGGCCTTGGGCCTTTGGGAACCTGGAGCATGGCCAGAGTGGGCTGCCCAGCCTCTGGGGGCAGCATAGCAGCACACGTGGAGATCAAGCCCACTTTTAGTTCACGAGAATTTTCCCAAAGGAAAGGTTTTTGTTTGTGGTGCTGGGATGGGCCCTAGGACCTCAAGCCCAGGAGGCAAGCACCCTTCCCTACCCAGGAAAATCCTGCACTTGGATATGAGGAGGCAAGAGAGCAAGTCACCACGATGCTATCAGGTGAAGAGCAAACAAATCGGACACCGTAAATGTCCTCTGCAGAGGGACCAGCACATCTGAATAGCGGAATACTCTGCAGTATGGAAAATCCATGATTCTATGTACTAACGTGGGAAGACCTCTGAGGTACTATGAAAAAAAAATCGAATGAGCCATTTCAAGATCCTGACAATCTCATCCAATTTCTGTAGAAGTAACTCTGCAATCAGTCCACGCCATTCCCATTCACGGTGATCTACATGGGAGAGGTGAGGACCAGGTCTAGAAGGATAAGTCCTATGAGAGTGGTGAGGGGTTTGGCTCAGGACCTCAGGGCACTGACTCCCGTCCTTAATGATGCTAGCAATGTGCTGTGTAAGGGAAATGAAATTGGCTTGTTTAATTGTTTGTTTGCCCTTCCTGGGTACACATGTGCTCACATGGGCGCACGCATGTTGTATGTGAGTGGAGGTCAGAAGTCAACCCTGTGTATTTTCCTTGGTCACTCTCCACCTTGTGTTTTGGGACAGAATCTCTCACTGAATCCGGAGGTCACTATTTGGCCAGGCTGTCAGGCTAGGGGGCTTCAAGGATTTGCCTGTCTCTGCCTCCCTGGTGCTAGTACTGGGGTTACAAACACATGGCACTGCATTTACATGGGAACTAAGGATCAAACAGGCTGATGAGGAAATTATCCACTGGGCCATTTCTCCAATTCAGGAAAACCTGGCTGTAAAGGTGATTTCCACCCTGGTATAACTTGTAAGCCTCACACAGGACAGCAGCCGAAGGCTGGGGATGCTCGGCAGAGGAGGGGGTTCTGCAGAGGGAAGAGGTCTCCTGGAAGGGCCCAGCCCTGCGGCTCTCAGAATAACAGGATGCTCCTGGCTGACTCGGCTTGGCCTCGGCTGCCCATTGGCTCTATCTGGTATAACCCCAGCCAGATCAGCCAGGGGTCACTTGACCTTGGCAACTGTCACTGTCTTAGCTGTCCTGATCCACAGTGTCACACTCCTGAGCTCTGACCTCTGTGTGTTCTAACCAGCCCCACCTTGGAGTCATGCTGCAATTGCCACAGTGGCTAGTCCAAGTTCACAGACAGGAAACCAAGGGATGCAGCAGTTAAGAAGTTGTCTGTCGTTTAGGGGGCAAGTGGCAGAGCTGGGTTTGAACCAACTCTTGGTCTCATGTTACCCTGCTTCCTGCCTCCGAGTGCCCATGAATATCCAGGGCCTCGGGACTTCACTGCTTCACAGTGGTCCCAAGCAGGCAAGTCCCTCTGTCTCCTGTCCTCCATGCTGTCCCCCTCCTCCAGTACCTCTCTTCCCTCTTCTTCCCTTTTTTGTCTGTCCCTCTTTCCTGTTCCTTGGATTCAGATGACAACTGCACCCCTGTCCCCACCCTGACCTGTGGCCATACTCTCACATCTGTTTGTTGGACCCTCCTAAAGACCCAGCAACACTCCCATTTTAGAGATGGGAAAGCTATGGGCCAAGGTGACACAGCTGGAGGAGGGGCAGCAGGTAGTCTGAGTGGCAGGCACCAGTTCCAAATTCCCTGCCACTGGTGTCCTGCTTCCAGACCCCACAATAACAGAGATGCCTAGGAAAGCCAAAAGACCCTCTGACGGGTACTAGCAATGACTTGGGAATTCTTTTACGGGGAAGAAGGTGTGGAGGGAGAAAGGCAGATACTAACCAGTCAGACCTCTGGGTCCCCGAGCCCTTCAACTACCAGCAGTGTGACCCAGGGCCAGTGGCTTGATCACTCTGAGCCTGTGTCTTCAACTGTAAAGCAGGGAGGGAGTTGGCCGTGCCAGTTATGAGTCTCCAGGGCTACACTGCAGCTCAGCCGCAGAAGGGACAGACAGAGACAGGGCAGGGGCAATGGCAGCGGGAGAACTAGGAAGGACAGGAGGGGCTGGGAGTGTCTATCGAGGGCCAGGGTGATGGAGGAGAAAGCAGAAAGGCCTGAGTAAAAGCAGCAGGGCAGGGGCGGGCAGGGCAGGGGCGGGCAGGGCAGGGGCAGGCAGGGCAGGGGCAGGCAGGGCAGGGGCAGGCAGGGCAATGGCAAGCAGGGCAGGGGTGGGCAGGGCAAGCACAGGAAGTGTAGGAGGAGGCAGGGCAGGGGAAGGCAAGGTAGGGGTGGGCAATGCCAGAGGAGGCAGGGACAGGCAGAGTAGTGAGACAGCATGGACAGACTCCTTCTTGGGCTCCTACACAGTTGGTAACTTTGGGGAAACAGTGTTCAGAGACACAAGTGTATTTTTTTTTTTTAAAAAGAAAAAGCCAAAGTCTGGCTACAAAATGACAGTTTGCTTCCCAGAAGCTTGGTGAGAGCCAGGCCCCAGCTCATCTTCCATAGTGATCACTTCTCTGGCCACTGTGAGACCCAGAACTGCCATGGGAGGGATGGTGAGAAGATGGGGTGGGGGTGGAGGACAGATGCGGGAAAGGCTTCTGGGGAAGGTGATTAGACAATCACCACGGCTCCTGCAGATGTCCAAGGTGGAAACCATCTGGCTCCCAGGGGTCCTGGGAAGACTGAAGTGTGGAAGGCAGTGAGGGGAGGTGCAGACAATGCAAGCACCTGTGAAAAGTGGTCTGCTTCCATCTACATGAGCAGCTCTGGTCTCCCCCAGGACAAGGCCACTCTGTGTCCCTTCCCAGCAGTCTCTCCAACACCAACCACTGCCACAGGCTTGCTGCTTAGGGAAGCAAAACCAGCGAGCGCCGCAGACTGTTTTCAGTCAAAGGCATTCTCCCCATTCTCCTGATTCCCACCTCACAGATAAAGAAACCGAGGCCCGAACACACTAGAATCTGAGTCTGTCTTATCAGAGCTCCACTCTGCATCACACACAAAGACTTTTGGAAGCCCCCACTTCTTCAGACACAGGAAGTGTCTCCAACCACTGCCCAGCGACTGAGGAATGGCTACAGCGAGGGGTGGGGGTGGGGTCTTTCCCATTCCCGCCACTTCTAGATCTCTGTCCCCCAAACCTTTCCCAAGCCCCTCACCTGAGGGTGGCCTACCTTGTGTGTGAGGCTGGGGTCTCTCGAAGCGCTGTCCTCCTCCTCTGAGCTTCCCTGTTCTTCGTCTGACGTGAGGTCCTCTCTGGGAGCCGCTGAGATGGGACAGACCTTGTAGGGCTCAGTGTAGGCGCTAGGTAGAGCAAGAGAGAGGGTTAGAGTTGCTTGTCCGGCCCATTTCACAAGCTCCCGACCAGCGCACACTCCCTTCCCCACCCTGGCCACAGGGACTCCCTTTCAGTCCATCAGACAAGCTAGGGTCTCTCTGGCCCCGGCGCCTTTACACATGCAGACAAAGACAACCCCAGGTCCCTGTCAGGTCCAGGCGGGCTAAGACATGAGGGAAGACCCAAAGCATATCAGCCTAAGTCAAACCGTGTCTTCCTCCCAACCCGTCAGACATTTCTGTTCTTCATCTCAAAATATTAGATGTGGGCCTCTTCTTTTAAACTATGAGAGCAGACAGTGTCTCTTGCCACAAGCCCTGAGCTTCTTTCTATGGCACAGGAAAACAGACCGGGTTTGTTGTAGGCTGGAGCCTCTCCGCACCTTTCTCTTGGCCACTGTGGCACTGTGGGTGGCATTGGTGGAAGACAGCATGCACAGCAAGTTGGCTGAGCCCAGGTCTTGCCTTCCAGAGCCACCTGGGGACATGTGTAACCATTTGTATCTGTCTCACAGGTAGGTGGCAGGGAGTCTGGGGCACTTCCTTTTAGAGAAGTTACCACCGTTCTCCAGCGGGAGCCTGCTATGCCTGTTCAGGGCCACTGGTCATCAAGAGTAAGGGCGGGAGTGGTCAGCTGAACTTCTGAACCCTCATCAAGGAGAACAGGGCAAGGCAGGCCTTTCGTAGAACACACTGGGGAAGGGGGAAAGTTTCCAGCCAACTTCACAGGCATCAAGTGCCTCCCACATTCACCCCCCATAGGTTCCCTGAGACCACTGCTGTCTCCATCACATCACCTATGGGCCAGACGCCTCCTGCCTCAAGGTCTGTGACATCTGATTCCATCCTCCCCGTCCACCTATGTTTTTCATCCACCACTGAGAGGGACCTTGAGATCCTCTCTGGTCATGTGGCCCTTTTGTGAAAACTCTTTGTAAGTGCAGTGACATTGTCTAGATTGGCTCCCACAGCTCAGCTTGGCCAAGCGGACACATTTCATGTCTAGGGAAAGAATCTGTTTCAGAAAGGAACTAAAGTAGAGAGCAACAGAAGAAGACCCAGGGGCCAAGGTGGTGACGTGTACCTTAATCCCAGCCCTCGGGAGGCAGAGGCAGGGGGATCTTTGAGTTGAAGACCATCCTGGTCCATTTGGCAAGTTCCAGGCCAGCTAGGGCTACACAGTGAGACCCTGTATGGAAAAAATTGACAAGAAGACACCTTGTTGAGTTCACACATGCACATATATACACACGAGCACATGCCCACAGGAACATGGCAACACATGAATGCACCTGCCAGCTTGTCTGGATTCCTGGCTCCATCATTTCCAGCAAGTTCCTCCCTTCTGTGTCTCGTCTCTCTTTCTATTTTGGGAAGTGATGCAGGGGTTCAGGGTGTTCTGAGGACCGAGGAAGAGACTGCACTAAGGTCCTCCGCAGAGTGGTGAGGATGTTCACTAGATGTTAGGATGCTCTTCCCATAGCCTGGCAGCTGTGGATGAAGCCTTGATCAGCCGCAGGCCCATCCCATTGGCTGGCACCTCATCTGCTCTCAGGTGCCCCACTCTCGGTGGCCCCATCTCTATAGTAACTTAGTGCTGAGTAGAACAGTATGAGGGTCAGGTGGTCAGGTTCAGTGACTGAGAGACCTGAAATCCACACGTCAGGAAGAAGGGGGGCCTCCCTGAGACCTTGGGTGAGTCACTCAAGGCGAGATCAGCCTCATTGTCTCCTGGGTTGGGTTTGGAAGGGCCTACGAGACGTGTAACACACACTGTTGGTTGTGTCTGAAGCCTTCCAGAGACGATCGGCAAAGGACTAGAGCTGCCATGGATGTGGATAGCACCATCACAGAGCCTGGAAGCCTGGGGGACAGAGAGGGCGTCACTGCCAGTCTAGGGGGACAGAGGGGGAGGTTGCTGTCAGCCTGGGGGGAGAGTGGGGGAGGTCGCTGCCAGTCTAGGGGGAAAGAGGGGGAGGTCGCTGCTAGCCTGGAAGGACAGGGCGGGGAAGTTGCTGTCAGTCTTGAGACAGAGAGAAAGTTGCTGCCTGCCTGGGGAATTCTGTCTCTGCTTCTGGGCCATCATGAGTTGTTCCATGACACCCTCCCCTCCATGATAGACAGAAACCATCTAAAACCATGAGCCACGGTCACCCTTTCCTATGTGTCTGGAGTTTCGTTACAGAGAGGGAAAGTTGACCAATTCACACGACTTGTTTGTGGCGTCAAGCTGGGGTCCATAGGCATCGTTGGGTCACATAGGAGCACCAGGGAGAAAAGATGGATGGTTTCTAGCACGAGGGGGAGTCCTTCTCAGCCTGTGGAGAGCCAGTTTCTAACTTCCAAGTTGAATCCTCTCCCTATGTCATTTTAGGCTTAGAGCGAGCATGACAAGCTGCCCAGGGCTGTTACCTTAATTGACCCGCCAAATGAGCCCGGGGCCTTTCCAGCAGCCTGGAGTCGTAAAAAGACATACATGTCTCCTCTGTGACTGGGCCCCACACTGTCCAACTCTGACCATTAACTTCCATCTCCAGCAACACAGTCCAAAGAGCCTCATAACTTATCCAAAAGCGTTCCCTCTTGGGAGCCGTTAGCGTGAGCTCGAGCCCACAGTCCACCCAGCTGGGGCTGTGACTGAGGCCAGCCCTGTCAGGGAAAGGAGGGGGCTGAGGCAGAGCACCCTGCAGGCTGGAAAGATTGAGGTGGAGACAGCTAGCAAATGTGATGATTGCAATTAGCAGAACAATCTGAAGAGCCAAGGAGAGCGCAGACCAGAGGGAGGGGGACAAAACTTGGATTTCCAAACATTTGGCTTCCATTTCTGACCACTGGCCATTCCATCCGTCCACCCGTGACCCACCCCCACCAGTGGACAGCATATCTCAGCGTGCAGACAACCCCTCTAAGGCCTGCCCAGGTGGCATCTTCTATTGAGAACTAATGTCTCTTGTGTTCCATCCCCTGAAACAAGCCACGGAGAGCTGTCACCTCCTGCTGTTCCGAATGAGACACAGTGGGAGGAGATCTGATGAGGTGGAAAGAGCCTTGAAGACCCCGGCTCACCATCAAGCCAGGGCACACTCAACTTGGTGGCTGCCATGTTGGGCCTCAGTTTCCAAATCTGTATAACGGAGGCGGAGGGTGGACAGCACATGCAGGGCCGATCATGCCTGCGCTAGCCCGCCTGCTGCAGTCTCTCATCTGCAGAGAACTCGCTCTGTTCCTCCCGGGGAGAACGCCCCCTGCGTCCGGGGTCAGCCAAGGGGTAGATAGCCTTGTAACATTTCCCAGAAAGGGCTCCAAGGAGCGGCTTTTTAGAGAACTCGGTTTCCATTTCTCGCTAAGTAAAAACAAGCCATCTTGCTCCCTGACCTGTGACGTCTCCTCCAAAACAGCGCTGGGGGCTGGAGGGATTGTTTTCCACGTAGGAAAGCTCTTCTGGGCCGTGACTCACAGACCGTTATTTTTACCCTTGCACCAAGCACGACTCGGTGCTTTTTAGTGTGCTCAGAGGGCCACTCACCTGCCACCAGGGCTAATGAGATGAAATTTTCATCACTCCTATGTCCTTCAACGGTGTACATGAGGTCCCTGGGTCCTGGCAGCCTCTAGCCTGCTTTCTCTATTGTAAACCTCATGTCAATGAGATCCATATTACTTTTGTGTCTGGCTTTTCTCACCCTGTATGGTATGTTGGGGCTTCACTCATGCTACAGCAGGCACCAACCCTTCATTCTTTTGCATGGTTAAATAATATTCCATCCACTAGACAGACTGTAATCTGGAATGTCTCTGGGCTGTGCTGTTGTCACTAAGGCTTCTGGGAATGCTGGTGTACCATGTCTTAAGCAGCCGTGCTTAAGCTGCACACAAACTTGTGGAACTGCCGGGCATATATGATCACTCCATGTTATGAATTTTTAGGGACTACAGGACTAACTTCCCATGGTTTTACTTAATCGCCCAGGTTCTTCCCCGCCACAGCAAACACATGTCATGGTTGATTTTTCATTTTAAAGGGATTTTCCAAGAATTTTCTGACTGTTGGGCCCAGTTCAGCCTTCTTTACTCCTCTCAAATCCTACAGCCTCTTCTGGCCAAAGTCGGGAGATAATAAAACGGATCAAGGCTGTGGCCATTAAGGCTTATTTTTAGACCATTGATGAGGCTCGAAGTCGAGTGACATAAAATGTTTTAAAGATCTGCAGAACTCATAAAATGACAGACTGGTCTAAAGAGGTAACATTCTAGAAGAATCCACAAGCCAGAGCTGTGAGCTTGCTGATACAGCAATGCCATGGGTTCCAGCCTGGGCAAAGAGCAGCCTCTGCTCCCATCAGGTAAGTGTCCCCAGAGGCCCTAGGGCTCCTAGGAGGTGCCACTAGAAGGTGCTAGATCTTTTAAGTGTGTCAGGTGGGAGAATCATGGCGACTGCTTGACTCGGCTTCTTTCTCCCAGCATTCTGTTCTATTTACTCCGCCTACCTAATTTTCTGTCCTATTAAAGGCCAAGGCAGTTTCTTTATTTAACCAATGAAATCAACACAAAACAGAAGACTCCCACATCACAGAGCTGTGAGCTTACTAATACAGAGATGCCATGGGTTCCAGTCTGGGCAAGCAGCTGCCTCTGCTCCCATCAGGTAAGTGTCCCCAGAGGCCCTAGGGCTCCTAGGAGGTGCCACTAGAAGGTGCTAGAACTTTTAAGTGAAGAGGCCAGGTGAAATGGAGTTACACTAATGGGGATGTGCCCTTGAAGGGGACAATGGGACCCTGGTACCCTCTTCCTCCCTCCCCGACCTCTACTCCTCCCCCCCCCCATCCCCGGCTGTGAAGGGAGCAGCTTGGCTGTGCTATATGCTCCCGTCAAGATGTGCTACCACAGGCCCAGTTCCACACACACAACTGATGATGGATTGAAAGATCCAAGGTTGTGAGCTAAAACAACCTTTTTCTATGTGTAAGGAGAGTCACTCAGGTATTCTGTTCCAGTGATGAAAACCGGTGAACACATTTAAGACAGGGTTCTGGTGTGGCTTCCATTTCGGATTCTTAGAAGCAGCTACACTGTTGGTATCTGGGCGTGCCTCTAGGCTGGCTCAGTGGGAAACCGAATTTATCCACAGAGATGCGGCCAGCCACAGTGTGCTCAGCAGCAGCAGCAACACCTGCTAAGGCCCGTCCTGCAGGCTGAGAACCTCTTGGAGCAGACTCTGATCTGTGTCCCCGGTAGAACTAGACACCCAGGGTCGATGTCGGGGCACATGCTATAGACCCTGCCTTCCTCAAGCAGACCTGATTCTGCCACTTAGCAGTTCCAAGACCCCAGGAAAGATAGTCTGCCTCCCTGCCTCAGTTTCCTAGTCTGTAAGGTGAGGTAGTAATGATACTCCCAACTCATGGTTTATGTGAGTATTGGCAGCAGGGATATGCAGACAGGGACAGCTCAGAGAAATGTCTGGTTTTAGTCTGCTTCAGGGTGGCCAGAAGGCCAGGATGAACCGTGAGGCAGACAGAGCTCTTAACAATGACAGACGGGCTTCTAGTACCTCCCTCTGCCGCCAGCTCGCTAGGTGACACCGTGCAGGTTCCTGACATGGAGTTCTGTGAAAATGTTTCAGGTGAAAAAGTCATGAGAGGATGCACTGGATCTCAAAGGAGGGCATGGCTTCAGAGACTTCCTTAGAGTCCTTCGCTCTCAGGGCCCTCTCCTGCAGACCCCCTCCTCAGAGCCTTTCCCTTTTTGAGACCTCTGTCCTCAGAGCCCTCCTCTTGTAGAGTCCTTCCATCTGGCATCTAGTTGCCACTCTCAGCTGGGGAAAATAAGGCTTTCTTCAGGGCACTCATTTGCCCTGGTTGCTCCATGTCAGCGCCTTGCTGCACGCCCTGCTGCATGCCCTGCTGCACGCCCTGCTGCACTGTGCTAGTGCCCTGCTGCACTGTGCTAGTGCCCTGCTGCATGCCCTGCTGCACGCCCTGCTGCATGCCCTGCTGCACGCCCTGCTGCACGCCCTGCTGCACGCCCTGCTGCACGCCCTGCTGCACGCCCTGCTGCACGCCCTGCTGCACGCCCTGCTGCATGCCCTGCTGCACGCCCTGCTGCACGCCCTGCTGCACGCCCTGCTGCATGCCCTGCTGCACGCCCTGCTGCACGCCCTGCTGCACGCCCTGCTGCATGCCCTGCTGC